TCATTTAAAGGTCGAAAAACTATAAAATTATTATACTATAGTAATAGTATAGCATTGTTTTTCGACCTTAAAATGTCCTTGATACCTGATCTTTTGAGNTTTTTTTTTGGACTATCTTGACATGACCTTGACTTCAAGGTCGTTTGAAGATCAAATTCAAAATTTTAAACGGGACCCTCGGAGGTGGTGTTTTTAGACCTGAAGTTGATTTTTTTAAATGGAAACACCCATTTTTTTCAACGGATTTACATTGAAAAACGAAAAAAAAATATTTTTCTTTTTCTTTATTCAATTTAACCCATATTTTGGCCATAAAATACAAAAAAAAAAACAAGAATCTTGAGACAATGGAGTACCCTGTTGGGATCACTTTTTTCTTTAAAATGTTTCATACAAAAGTTGTAAGGTGAAAAGGGGACTATCTTGACATGACCTTGACTTCAAGGTCGTTTGAAGACCAAATTCAAAATTTTAAACGGGACCCTCTTTTTCTGACCTTGGAAATTACAAGAGCGGGAAGTTTTACAATAAGATGAACTTCAAGAACGAGATCAGATATCAAGGTCATTTTAAGGTCGAAAAACTGTATAATTATTATACTATAGTAGTAGCATAGCATTGTTTTTCGACCTTAAAATGTCCTTGATACCTGATCTTTTGAGGTTAAGTTCATATCTTATTGTAAAACTTCCCGCTCTTGGAACTTCAGAGATCAAAAAAGAGACTACCAATTTAAAATAATTTTGAATTTGATCTTCAAACGACTTTGAAGTCAACTTTTGTATAAAACATTTTTTTTAAATATCCCAACAAGGTACTCCGTTGTCTCAAGATTCTTGTTTTTTTTTTTTGGCCAAAATATGGGTTAAATTGAAAACATAATAACATAACGTAATTTTTCTTCGTTTTTGAATCGAAATCTGTTTCCATTAAAAAAAAATCAACTTCCAGTCTAAACCGGAACCGGACCTTTCAATGGCCCCCTCGGTGCCCTACAATGTTTGTCTGAAACCTTTTTCGAAATAATTGAGTCCAAGCGTGATATTTTGTATCCAAGGTAAATGCCCCACCTGGTAATTTAAATCATATTCTGAGTGTTTAATTCAAAGTGCGTTCGGAAAGTGAAGACGTGCATTTGCCAGTTACAATTATTAATACCCAAAAAATCATCGACACAGTACGAGATTGCCTGCAAAGAATTCAAAGGGTGGTGGAGTTCTAAGAAAATTCAAAGTGTCTGAAGCGATTTTTTGAACATAAATTTAATAAAATTAAACCTTCGACGTCATAGTCGCTATTCCATGTTCAAAAGTATACCGAATGCCAAAAAAGTGTAAATATCAGAAAATTTCCAAAACTAATACCATATTTGAAAAGCAAATCAGTTGGATATCGTGCGAAAAAGTCCAGAATTATAACGAAAGAGGAAATTGTGAGATTTTTACACAAAGCGCCTTTGTCAACTGAAAATTTAACGAAAATGTCAACTTTTGATGACAGTTTTCGGAAAAAAACTTATTAGAAGTTCATTAGTAAATAGAAAGTTGAAAATATACAGTAATTACGGAAAATCTGCTCAATATCGGATCCGAGATCCCCACAGAGCCTAACCCGAGAACAACAGGACACGCCAAAGACTCCTAACTAAGGGCAAGGAAATGAAAGGTGATTCTGTAACTGACAGCGATCAGGTACACAGGCAACGGTACAACAACTCAAAAAACCATCGTACTTTAAATATTAAACATCAAAGCGGCCCGTTGGCAGCGAGAGGGTACTTCTTCCAATCGTTTTCAGATCTACTCAAGTTTCACTTACCCGAAAAAGCCTCGATAACCCCAAGATGGAACAGCTGCCTCACCACCGACAGGGCGCAGCTCTTGCTCGCCGACTGTTTGTTAGAGCCGCTGTCGCGGCCGTAAATGGTACGGCCTAACTGTTTGACGAAGAACGTAATCTCCGCGACGAACGTCCTAACGGTGGAGAGAAATGTATTAGCGCCGATATTTCGCGGGAATGCGTAATATACTCACATCCAGGTGCAAGTTACTAACAACATCTACTCGTTTGCCATAGAAACCTGTACGAAAACATAAATCGAGAGCAAATAATTAATACAACTTCCAATCGGTATCATTGTTAACGTTAAAATCGAAAGGCAAGCGTAGTTCATTTCAAATATTCATATAGTGTAAAAAATTGTTCAAATTTATTTATATTTTTTTTTTATTTTTTAACTGTATTACATTTTTTTTATGTGGTAAACCTACAATTTTAATTATATGTGAAAATGAACTATGTACTTCACTTTTACAAAGTTTCGTAACCTATTTTTACCGGAAGTACCGAAACTTCCAATGCGTACACAAATTTTTTATTTAAAAAACCTCATTTCTGGAGGTTTTCTAAATACGTCAAAAAAATATTACAACCCCAGAACTCGGTCATAAAAATTCTGTTGTTGCAATAAAATAAAACCTTCTGCTCTCGATTCAGTTTCCGTCAAGTCTCTAGTCAAATATTTTCCACAAATTGCAAAAAATTCACAGGTCCACAGAATTCGTTCCGTAGAGCCATATCTTCCTTGCAAATTGTATCAATAAATGAACCCATGTAGCTTGTACAGAATGGCCTCAGCCATTCTGCATCAAGCTTAAAAAAAACGAAACTAAAATCCATGACTCTTATCAAATAATCAATCGTTCAACTAACCTGGAATGATCGGGACCGACTTGCGTGTACTTATAATCGGCATGAATTTTGTTAGATTGCATATACTGGTGCAATTTCGACTTGGCGTTCTCCACAGTCCAATTACCGTGAATTTGCGCATTAACATCCAAATCCTCAGCTTCCTCGATCTTTTTCTGTTCCTGGGCCCTATCCATATAATGCCAGTCGCCATCTTCTCTGCCCCGGGGACGATATGCCTCTCCGAAACTAGAAGGACCCATGCCCTGACCGAAAACTGAATGCTGGGGCCCACTGTCCACGGTTTCCTGCTTTCCGTCTAAAATTTTTATGATAAAGAAATAGGCAATATTTTGAAATTTAATTTATTTACGGTGAATGGCGGCTGAAGGGGCAGCGTCAATGTCCACAGGCACATCATTCTTGTTCACAAGCCCTTGCCGTACCAAAAAAGAAACAAAATCCTTCGCGGCGTTGCTTTGGGCGTCCTTCTTGTTGGTGGAATTTCCAGCGCCGACATAGTTGTAGCCGACGACCCGAACCTCGCACAAAAACCTCTGTCGATGTTTTGGACCTAATATTTATACAAAAAAATTAATAACATAATTTTATATTAATACAGGTACTTGCCTGTAGGCCTCACTTCAAAGGTGGGATCTACTTTGCTTTTCTGACAAAACTGATGCAAAAACGATTTTACATCGGTCATTTTTGTGAATTTGTATATTCACGGCGTTAATAAAATAGTTAATACTACGCAGAAAACGCAAAGGGCGATAAATAACTAGAAAACACCTTATTTTGAACCGAAATGACCACAATTGCATTCATTTACTGCAACAAACAACAACCCTTATTAATTCTTAACTGCGATTCACAATAATGGCCGACGAAATTACCGGCGGAAGTGATACATGAAAAATAATTGATTAAATAAACAGGGCTGCCAAATGCTTTTTTAGAAGTACTCGCGGTAAATTTAAAAAATGTGGCTTTTCCTCAAGCATCATATTTGAAAAAATATTACTTTTGCCCATGATATAGACTCATGTCATGACTTTTACACGTTGACTGAAATAGTTTTTCATTTGCTTAACCACAGTTTAAACATGAGATTAGTTTTGAAGTCGTCAAAAACGAGCACGTACATCCGGTATGGTAGCCAACATTAAAATTGTACAATAATTTAAAATTTTATTAATATTCTGCTCATAATCTAGGTTCTGTTCTTACAAATTTCCAGGACTCTTATCAAAATACATGACTTCATATTCATATTGTTTCAAGTTAATATTCACTATTCAGTATAAAATATAGATTAGGTATGATATATATAAACAAGAAAGGTAAATAGGCTTTTAAAATATGTATTATTTTTTTCTGTGAATCAGGTGAGGTTCGCAATATTCACATTGCTAATAAAATATTTGCAGTTTGAGGACTTTATTGTTTTCGTTATTGCGCAAATCCTTTTGGCAACAAAACAAATATGGTAGAAAAGGGTTTTTGCATTTAGATGAACACTAATTTTTTGAAATTTTAAAGGCCATGGATTTTGTCAAAAATTTTTAGGATTACGATATACTGTAATAGGGCTAACTAATCCAAAACTGTATTCAGTTCATCTCTAGCTCCTCCACTTTTTGAGATTTTCGATTTTTTTTCTCGAGGGAAGATCTTGCACAAAAAACAACTATCACGTGTTTGGAGGTCCCAGTTGCATACGGAACCACCTTAAGAAAGGCACTTTCACTTTCCCGCGGTTATAATAAAATAATAATTATAATAAAAAAACGCATACACATTGTATGCATCTGTATATTTCTTCAACCTGTTGGCTGCCGCATCAATATGGGTAGTTCGGCCAACATTTTTTATGTTGCAATAGTAATATATACATATATAGAAAGAACGTTTCCATGTGTATATTTATGTCTGCATTTTATTTTATTTCTGTACCGTGAAATTGTACAAGTGGCGTATAATCGAAAATAGTTTTTCTGTGGACACGTATAATTGTTCAATTACAGGATTGTTATACAGATTTGCATCGAATAATCGTATTGTGCATCAGTAGTTCGTGTGGTTCTTCTGCAAAGAATAAAGTTCTCGAAAAATAAAAAAGTAAACCTCATGAAATCTCATTTTTACTTGACGAAAATATTTTGTATTTGTTTACGTTCGTTTTATTTACGTTTAAACAAAATGAATAACCTCAACTATGAATTCGAATACATATACGTGGTACTTTCAACGTGAACTAAAGCTTTATTTTGAAACCGACAGTGAAAAAAACAAAAAATAGAACATTTGTATAAAACTTTTATGTGGATTTCGATACAACGATTAACATCTACATGAAAAAAAAATATATCTTTTGTCAACATCACATTTCTAGTCTACGTCATCCTCTTCCATCTCCTCACCGCCTTCTTCTTCCTCTTCCTCCTTGTCGGAAAACTTCTCGAAGTGTCCTGGTTTGGTCCACATTGCCCTTAATTCTAACTTAAACGTTGCCAGTTTGTGTCCTAGTAATTCCAACAAACTGGCTTGATCCGGGGTTAGAACGTCGCCTTCCTTACACACTACGTAGTCTTTTATTAATGTAACAATCCCTGAAATAACGGTTCTGATAAAAATGGACGAGTTCCTGGACGAGTTTTTTTTACCTCTATCTAATTTTGTAGGTAATCCCAGCTGTCTCAAGTATGGTTCAATTGAATGAGAAAACTCCTTTAGGGGCCCTTCGTTTAACTTTATCGTTGTTTCCACTTTGAATCCCGATCGAGGGTAATCTTGGACATGAAAATTTTCAAACCAATCTACCACTTCGTCTTTTTTAGAGTCTGTGAATAGAAGACAACAGGTTCCCTTAATAAAGTGGGAAATCTAAAAGAAATGATTAATATGAAGTGAAGTATATGTAATGCCAATAATAAATTTGGTACATCAAATAATACCTCACCTTGTGTATGTTATCCTCAATTTCGTCTTCTTTAGATTTACCCAATCCTACTGTTATAACTTTATTTTTTCCAAAGTACAGCCTGCTATTCTTCCATTGTTCACGTACATCTTTTATATGGTTACTCCTAATATCACGGTATTTAAATACGTATACACTTTCAAATTTCTTAACGCAGTTTCTCACATCCTCAATGATTTTCTGTTTCAGCTGAAGTCCTTTTTTACCAGTTTTTGTCAGGTACACTAAAATAAATTTGATTATACTTATTTCATTTAAAAGTTGGAATGGTTGAAACTTACCTTTCTTGTCTCGTTTGGATCTTGGCATAATTTTTTATTATATATTTATACACAGAAAAATAATTCAAATTTAAATGCTAGTATACTGAATAAATGCCCTATAAATACTTCCTTAAGTCTCAAAAGGGCAAAATTACCACATTAAGAAATCTAACCCTACTTTCTCAGGCATGAAATATTTTCATTTTAATCTATGGAATCACAGAACATTGAAAAATTTTTGAAGATCTGCGGAAATATATGCTATGGCAACAAACTCCAACTGAGGGGCTTTCGTTTTGGCGAAAATAGTACCTATTAGCAAGTAATATCAGTTCAGAGTAACTCTAAGTTGCTATTAGCTACTAATAGTTACTATTTTTGCCAAATCGAAAGGCCCTCTGGTAAACTCGAAAGCCGCTCTAGCAAGCTCGTGGTGTTCTGTGGTGCTTCGAGTTGAGGTTATGCGAAATTTTATAAAATATTTGAATAAACTATTTGAAAATGGTGGTGTTTACTTGCAATCACTGTGGAGACAGTTTGCAAAAGCCCAAAGTTGAAAAACACTACAGTTTTGCCTGTAGGGCTGATAAATCTTTGACATGTGTTGATTGCTTCAAGGATTTTAGGTTAGTTTTTAACTCAGTTTTGTTTATAGCACAGATTTGTTATATTAATTTATTTCAGAGGTGAAGAATATGTAACCCATACGAAATGTTTAACAGAAGATGAACGTTATGCTGCAAAAGGAACGTATGTTAATGGTATCGTAAAGAAAGGTGAGGTTAAACAAGAATCGTGGGTAGAAATGATAAAATCCATTCTGGATAAAGAGAATAATTTGAAGCCGTCGTGTCGTAATTTACTGAATACTATTTCTCATTATGATAACATCCCAAGAAAAAAACCAAAATTTATTGTAAGTATTGAAGTGGCCATTATAAACTGTATTTTAATCATATTAAATTTTCTTTCAGAATTTTATTAAGAGTTCTTCCGGAGGGAGGGTAAATATGAAAGATGTGGAAGACGTCTGGAATATTATAGAAAAATATAAAAATGAAAATGCCGGAAAAGCTCAAACTATTAACGGCCATAACGAAAAAGTTAAAAAGGAAAGTCAAAATGGTGACGATAGTATTAGTGAAGAAAAAAATTCCAAGAATAAAGAAAATGAAACAAAGAAAAGGAAAACTGCTGCAGAGACAGAAGATTCCCCCAAGAAAAAGAAGTATAAAAAAGTCCAGCAAATTGACGAGACTATTGTAGAAAATGAAAATGTTAGCTTCCAAAATGATGATGGTGAAAAGAAGAAAAAGCATAAAAAAGTTAAAGAAATGTTAGATATAAACGGGGAAACATCAGAAAATGTAAAATTTAACTTCAAGGAAAAAATTCTAGAAGTCGTCACTGCAAAACAAAGTATCTCTTTAAAGAAGCTTCAGAAGAAAATATTGAAAGCTTATTTGAAAGAAACGGGTGAATCGGAAATTACACCTACACTTATAAAAAAATTTAACAAGAAACTGAAAAAAATTCCTAACTTGGAAATTAATGATGATAAAGTTACGGTTTCAGAAAGAAACAATTAAGTTCATATTACGTTTTGATACATTAAATATTTTTCAACTATAAATTTAGAAACATGAAGTAATTGAGTAGTCGTTTTATTTACCTACCTTTAAGCATTTATATTTCATTGAATTTTATTCGATATGTTTTAAATGTAACTAAATGTCTTCTGTGTAAAGTTCTTTAAAATTAACAAGAGATCAAAACAATAAACTAAAAAACATAATTTTTATTAGAAAGCTTCATGACACGTTCACACCATGTTTGTTCTTAAATAATCATCATCTTAACTAAATGAGTTTTCAAAAATTCTTCAACGGAATCAGTGTTCCATTTTTCTATGGCGACGGTTTCTTGCAAGTGACCGTCCTTATCGTATAACTTAATAATTGGATCTAAGCCTCTAACATACTTTATTTGTAAATTGGGGAACTGAGCTGGACGATGACTCTTGATAAAGGCTTGAATTTGAGGATACGCACCAAATTTGCAAGTGCATACCTCGAGAACGGCTTTATGGTATACTTTCTCGGAGGTTCCATTTTCGTCCGGATGACAACATTCCCTGCAATGATCTCTGAAACAGGAAAAGTCACCATAACTCATATTAGTCATACATTCTTTTAAATATTATATGAAAAACTATACATTAAAAGTAGTAACTTACTTTAGTATATCTAAATTAAACTTAGGTAATTGATCACAAGACGAACAAAGCAAATTAGCTTTATTAAAACCTAACGCCCAGCAGTCATCTGAACTAAATTCAGCAAAAACTGTCTCCTGAAATTAAAGGAGTAAATAATATGCACTTTTAATATAACGTAGCGACTTACACTTAACACAATAAAAACACATGTAAATATCAAACACTTCATTCTGTTTAAATATGTAGAAGCAAAATTATTTAACCACGATTATTCACTTATTATAACCACAAAACATATTTTTTTTTGTACACCGTCATAAATGTCAGCGGGAGAGCTTTGCTATTGGTGAATATTAGGATATTCAACATTCAGCTATATCGCTATTGGCTGTTCAGCAATTAACCAATGGGAATCATTTCCGTGTCTGTAATTCATACATTAAAAATCTTTGTGATAAACATTTTACCATGGAGGATGTATGTTTAACCAATAGAGAGAGAGAGATAGAGAGTTTCCAAGGTATGGCCCTTCTCTCTACTGGATACATCTACACTTTTTAAACACGCGGTGCTTTCTCCATGCTCTAAGATTTTAACGTAAGGTAGTTAAAATGAACCACAACCATAAACTGACGTAGTACATTGAAGCTACCAGAAGAAGTGGAAGGTGGAAGATTCATACTTTATTACCACATACATGTTTCTGAACTTACTTCAACCTTTAACCTTTGGCGATTAGGCAATTCTATATACTGCACATTTAATCAGTGATTTTTTTGTTTACCAAATAGATAAAATAGTTTCGATGATAAGATAACCGGAAGATTTATTTTATAGTTGGATTAGAGCTGAACTATAAAAATAAAATTAGGTATTTTTGAAAAGAATCGAAATTTCGAAAAGTTGAATCTCTAGAATTAAAACTGTCCAATCACGTTGGTAGCACTTTTGCCTTAATGATTTGATTGATTTGACATTTCAGTGAAGTGAAATCTAACCAAAATTAACAGTCTTAGAATACATCCACTTCATGTTATAAACCGCAACTGTCGAAGGCCTTAATTCATGCATTTCTTCAATGGATTAGAAGAATATATCCTAATGCAGCAAAACACGTGGTGCGTCCGTCAAACCAGTGCCAATTATAACATGCTGATGTCCAAGATCACACCAACATAAACCAGCAACTGCTTCCTTTAAATCAGTTTTAGTATGTAGTATGTACCAGCAGCTCTGCTGTAGTAAAAACCTCCTAATAATACTTACGTGATGGGTAGCTGCTGGTGTAAGCAAAAAGATGAAGACCATGACACTTACGTTCCACAAGCTCCAACAAACCACAATATCATCAGTAGCGTTATTCAGCAGCCCGTATCACCCGACAGTACTCAGTACTCCTTTAGAGTATCTAAGGCGCCAGACCCGTCTTATGTCGATAGACTCGTGCTTGACACTTTGGATGTAATCGCCACCTTAGTAGACAAGTAAGTGACATTTCAAAGGGTAATCAAGAAGGAATTTTTTATTTAGTTCTAAATGACATAGTAATTGTGAAGTTCTTTATTTACTTCAATATTGTCTTATACTGCCTCCAAAACTGTTTTCATTCATCAAAATTATGTATTTTCGTATTCTGCTTGCTTTTACGATGCAAATATACATTGTAGTGAGCAAGAACCTCCGAGCTCCATGGTACTTCTTCACAATATCGCCGACTATGAAGAAGGATGGATACAAGTAGTGAATTCGTTAATCAGCGTTATCCCGCTGCAGGACCCGTTAGGTCCTTCAGTTATTACACTCTTATTGGACGACTGTCCCTTGCCGTCTAAAGAATCCGTGATAAAGGTAAAAATAAAAGCTTCAGTGCTATATTTATAGTTATACAGATAATTGCAAGGTACAAAACCATTTCAGGTAGTTAATATGTTGAATTTATCCAGAGAAACGGCTGTGTTAGGAAAGCTCAATCCGCCGAGGCAAAGAAACATCTGCGTGGTGTTGGGTTGTATAGCGGAAAAGTTGGCCGGGCCTAGGAATATGGAAATTTTGAATACCGACACCATAGACTATTTATTAACGAATTTGGTAAGTTTTATTACTCTTTAACCTGCCAAAACATTTATGTGTGTTCTTTTTTAGAAGCAAGATACTGATCCGAACGTTATCTTATTTTCGCTGATAGCTCTGGAGAAGTTCGCGCAAACTAGTCAGAACAAGATTACTATTTTAAAAAAACTCACAGAGTTACCTTCTTGCCCGATTTCGGCTTTAGAAGCCTGGAAGGAGGAGGGACATTTTGTTAAACGTCAAGTGGGGTTCTGCGCTCAATGGATACTCGATAATCTCTGTAAGCGTCATTCGTTTCGTCGTCGTTACTGAACACTTCTAACCGTCAATTTGTTTTTCTAGTCGTGATGGACAATCGTAACTATACCTACCAGATGGTGAACATGGAAAATATAAATGCGATGCTGAATACCAGCGACGTCAGCGAGTACCTGAAGATATCTCCCGACGGTTTGGAGGCCCGCTGCGACGCCTACTCATTCGAGAGCGTGAGGTGCACGGCGCAGGCCGATTCGGGGGTGTGGTATTACGAGGTGTGCATCATCACTCCGGGGGTCATGCAGATCGGTTGGGCGACGAAGAACAGCAATTTTCTGAATCACGTAAGTAGAAAATTCAGTGATTGACGGATTCTTTTTTGAAATAAACGAATTGTTATAAATAAGCACATTTTTTCATCCCCTTTTACCGTTGCTGGAGTATATAGGTTGGGATAAATCATCCGATATCGTCTTCTTGCAACAGCATCATTTCCTCCTGACAATAAGTAGTCTCTAACCCTTTCTTGATTCGTGTACATGCTTTTTCGTAATTTGTCGGCTATTGCTGATAAGCAATGAGGTGTACCAGCCATGGTACTCACCTTTGTAAATTTTTAAACGGTTAATTTCTCATTCCTTTTTCATGACGAATAAATATTTTCAGGAGGGTTACGGTATCGGCGACGACAGGTATTCCTTAGCGTACGACGGGTGCAGGAAACTCATATGGTACAACGCGAAGTCGGACCCCCAGAATTTGCCCCGGTGGGTGGCGGGCGACGTCCTTGGGTGCCTGCTGGACCTGGACACCCAACAAATCGTATTCTCCGTGAACGGAACGAGCTTACCACCATGTATGCATGTGTTCACAATGGCGAAGTAAGCGCTCCCGCTGATAAATTTAAAAAAAATACATATTGAGGTTTTTTTTTTTTGTTTTCCCAGATCTGGTTTCTTCGCGGCAGCGAGCTTTATGTCATTCCAGCAGTGCCGCTTTAACTTCGGCGCCGAGCCCTTCAAGTATCCCCCCAAGGTGGCCTATTCCACGTTTAACGAACACGGCACCCTGAGGCCCGAGGAGAAGGTCGTCCTCCCCAGGCACATACTCCTCAGTCAGTTGCGGCAGCAAAAAATAGGGGAGGACAGCTGCACGCTCTGTTACGACCAGAAGGCGTCGGTGCGGCTCATTCCTTGCGAGCATTCGTAAGTATAATTTTTTTTGTTCGCGGCCAATTATTTTTGATCAAGTCGAACTGAACAATTGCAATTCGCGGCTTCCAGGGCCGACTGATAATTGTCGATTTTTATCGTTACTTTTAATGTTGCGTTTGTTATGCTAACGACAGTTAAAAATTATATTTTTTCTTTTAGAAACGACTAGCTTTAGATTCATTAAAAAATGTATATTCTTTTATTTAAAAAAAATATATCACATATTTTTTACTTCATTTTATAGGTTTTAAGTTAATTCAAAGAAATTAAAATAAATTTTCTAAAAAATTCATCAAATGAAGTCAGCGTTCCTCGATACCAGAAATTTACGTGTGTAAAAGATTCCCAATATCTGATATCGCAACAAAAAACTATTGTACAAGCTACGCTAAATAATAGTAAAAATACATACGTAATATCTAGAGATTGTTAAATAATGCAATCATTAAAATATCCTGTATTCTTGTTATTCTATTATCCCTATTTCCAAAGGCTGATCACGTAAAAACAGCTACTTCAAAGAGATCCTATTATTTCCCCATTTTACTTGGGATCGGTTCATCGGGTATAGTCTTTCCGATATCAATTGAAGAACCAAAAGCTGACGCAGCAACTCTGCATTGAAATATTTAAAAAACTTGTTCCCATATTTATTTAGCCAAAACCGTATACAGGTCCAGTCGAACTAAGCATGGGGGTGTTAGAAATGTATACGCCCAGTTAAAGAATGCGAGCGCGGGCAAACAAAATACAAATACAGTTGCATTGGGCTACTGGGCAATAAATCTCAACCGTTGACAAGTGGTCGACAAATTGCCCAGCAGTGCAGAGCAGCAATCCTGAATTTGGGTGGCACCTTCTATTAATCATTGATATTACAATTGGGAAAGGGAGAAATAATATTATTACAACATGGCATTTTGGACACCTTTTGAAAGGGAACAAAACGAAATTTACCACCAATATAATAAAATTGTTTGAGGACATAAATAATTAAAGTATGTTTTAGCCAAATGAACATATCATAGAAATTTTTATAATTTTTTACTTTAGCAGAAAACCTTTTTAGGGACGCCTATGAAACTGATTAAATTTTATTGCCAGGCGTTTTTTACATGTTCAACTGACTTCGGAAAGACTATAACTGCCTTGTTTCTCATAATATCAGCAATTTGGAGTCTTGCCTGACGGGTTAATAATATTTTAAAGACCTAAATCCCTGGTATCAAATTCTCTTGTTTTTTGAATAAAGCGAACCTTATTTCCGTTAATAACATCATTTTTTTGTGCCGTAACTTAAAAACCAACGACTCTACACTCATTAAGGTTTACGTTCTAAGGAATAACGTCCCGAAATTATGACACGGACTTAGAGAACACCTTGTGCATGATTTCGGGAAACGTTTTGGTGCTTCTAAAAGATTTTTTTCTCCGTAGGGGTTTTTGTTTATCGTGCGCCAATCAGCTGGTGGAGTGCCCCATGTGCAGGTCACCGTTTCAGCTGATAGTGGAGGACAACCCGTCGTCATGACGAATAAGGTGTCCCGTGATGTAGAACTCTACGAGATATATTTTCTAATTATTACTACAGTAACTTTTTGTACAAATTTGTTGCATCATATGCGTGAGGCGGGTGTAATTTGAATATCTTATTTATTTTAAATACCAGTTATATACCGTAACTATATTATTCGTGTGAATATCGAGGATAATTTTTATTTGTAAATTCTATGAGGTGTATATGTATATAGTGGTCTGAGGCTTGTATTTACAGGATGTATATGTGGAGGAATTTTTTTGCAGATGTATATTTTTTGCATAGAAAAAATATATAAATTGTTGTTTTCTCTTCACCGAGCATAAATCTTTGAAAATATATTTTAATGTTATGATTATCTAGTGTTTCATTGCATTTTTATTCGTCAGTAAGGCCCCCACAGAGCTTAGCTCGAGAACGACAAGACCAGATCAAAGATACTTTGTTAAGTCTAAGGGACTGCGTTATAAGTCTAAATGGTAAGTAGTCATTCAAATGAAAGTAAATTTTCACTAGTATAGAAAAATGTTTAAAAAAAATATGTTCAAAAGGTAGGTATGCGTCCTTAAACAGTTGCTCTTTTTTAATTTAGGGAATAGCACGCTGACGCAAAATATAAAATAATTTATATACTGTTGCGACCATCACTGAGAACGTTTAAAGAAATAAACATTACTTTTTTGAGGATTTTATCAACATTACCATTCTACTTTTTGTAAACAACGAAAACACTGAATTTTAATTGTAGCTGAACATAAAATAACTAACATACTCCACACTTTTTTAAAAATAGGTCTTAAATGGAACCAGAAGCACAAAAACCTCTGAAATAATCTTTATTTTGAGAAATTTTTACCTCGCTGCACAGTAGATGTCTGCAAATAGCTATCAGAATGTAAATGGGCGAGACGAGCGTCGAAATATAATGGGCAAGTTAAATGTGGCGCCTCCGTCAGTTTTTTTATTTTTATGGGTTGGTACGAGAATTAAATTAAGCTTTTCACCAATCTTGGGCCATGAAAAACTTTTCCACGCCAAAATAATCACTATAAGTGTCACAATTAAAAAAAATTCTTAAAGTAAGGTGGCATTTATTAAAGTATAATAGTTGTGAGTGTTTTGCGATTAAAAGTGCTTGCCCTGTATGGTTGATTTATTGTAATATTTGGAATCACGTGCCTTCGCAAATGCTATGTTTTGATGCTGGAACAAAATGGCGGGTGAGTAAACTGTTGGATTTTATTTCACGAATCGACTCGAGTGACATTTAAATTATTTTTTAGATATTTCTCTAATTCATGATGACTGTTTGGATGATTCAGATGAAGGTATGATTTGCTAGTATTATCGATGTTTCAGTATTATAGCTGTCACTTTCACGTTCCGTTTCCATTCTAAATTGGTTTAGGTTAAAAATATTTCCTTTCTTTTACGAATTAATTCCTAACTGCTATCCAATCCGTCATTTTTTCGGAATGAAAAATTATCTGCATGCAGTGTACATTTTTTTATTATTGTTTGTGCCAGTTTAATTTGATTGTAGCGACCGAGGCCAGGAAATGCGACTTAAATATCGAGAAACTTTGACATTTATCGTCAGTGTTTATTTCTGTTTTTTTTTTATATATAAAGATTTATGGCCAAATAAAGACCTCGTTGACGCCAGTAGATAAAGGGCGCCCATCCAGATTAGCGAACAGATAAGTTTGTTGTTGAATCGAGCAAAGCCAATTGCGGAATACTAGTGATGTGGGTGGCAATTTTATCATCGCGAACCCGTAGACATCTTATTTAATCAATGAACCGTTTTCATTAATGAACAAATGTGCATTTTAGTGTAGTACGGTACCAGCGGACGCTTTTTTGAGTCGTTTTCTGGTGCGTGCTCTCTTGCATCCCGACTTTGTGTTCGACGATGGAAAGGGTGTCGACCGACATTTCCGGTACACACACACATACGTCCTCGCCCGCGTGTACTTCCCATTCCCATCTTGAGCAGTCCGATGATATTTTTTATTTACTCGTCGTGGTATAAATATTACCATTACGATTATCTACTTGGTTGTACGTTGATTGTTCATTGACCCGTGAAGGGTAATAACCCCGTTTTTGAGAGGAAGGCCCTGAAAAAGCCTTAACTATTTGGCGAATATTGCCGAATGCTTTGAGCAATTTTATGATACACACAGTCATATTCCCTTGCAAAATTTACTATGTTTTCTCTTCTAGAAGATAAATTTGCTAGGGCCTTGATAAACGAGTACCGATAGCTAATAAGGCTTTGGCTGTAGCAAAACAGAAATGACGATAAGATAGACAAGTTTAAATGTTTCATAATAAAAAAATGACGCAGTTATATTGCGATGTTTTTTTTTACTAAGCACGGTGCCTGTCTAGTAAATACATAGAAATTATTCATTAAATTACGTATTAACGTGCTTCAAAAAGGAAACATGCACAATGAATTGGACATTCGGGGACATTTGGTCTTAGTTGGTCTGTGTTTCCAATCCCCCCCATCTCACTCTTTTATCGAGTGACGCACATGTACACAAACGTCGCAGTAGCCTGGAGTAATGCAATTGTTTTGGTAAACTGTCATTTTCATGGCTAGGTACCTACGTAGAGATTGCACAAAATTGCGTTCTCGTAGTTTGAAGATTAATAACCATTCCATTTAATCGGCAATATTATCATGTATTTTTTCCACGTTTTATTCTCCAATGCCTTGTTTTGATCGCGAGAAAAAGCGAATTACGACGCGTAAGAACTATGTCCCAATTTCATAATAATGTACTTTAAGTTTGTCAGCTAGCGGTAAACAATTGTTTTGCATAGTTATTAAGGGCGAGGCTTTCGCTGTGCGAAAACAAAAAACATCCGTATTCGTATTGAACACGCTGTATAAGTTTTAAGACTGGTGATATATTGGTAAATTGTAAATGGAAATGGTGTTTCAGTTAACGTAAATCAGAGTACCTACCGGTGAAGTTTATAGCCCTGTTTCGTTTTTTTAAGAATTATCTATTATTTAGTTGTTCCCGCATTGAAAAAATGGTTTTTAACAATTGGTTACAAGTATATTATAGAACACAGTAAATTGCATAAGCACCACATGGTGAGAAGAAAATTTTATTCACAATTTACGTCGTAAAAAATGTTTTTATTTGTTTTTCCCGAATATCTTGGATTTTACGAAGAAAACGCAGAAATAATTTTTGTTTTGAATGAAATTTTCTATAGGTGGCACCACCCCGATTTTTTTTATTGCAAAAATAATTGTGCAGTTAACAGAAAATCGATACTTTCCTAAAAATTGTTGTCGGTTTTGTAAAAATTAAGTAAAATTCATGAAACTTTCGGAAAATAGTCCTCAATTCATGTACAATAAGCTTCCGAAACCAGTTATTAGACAGACGAGTCGTTGCTGAGTCATTGACTATTGTACGCCATAATGGGAATTTCCTTTCTTTCAAATAAACGCTAAAACTGTTTTTTTTATACGATTTAAAATTGGAGAGTTTTTAATTTAGAAAAAAGTGGGATATTTGAGTCGCCTCAAATTAAAAATAACATTTACATTTTTCAAAAAAATTTGGGGATTTATCGACCAAAATCTAATAGCTTTAATGTGTTTAGCTAAATTTAAATTTCATGTCGAAATAAGTATTTTGTAAAAAAAATAGTAAAAATGATGTTCAAAGCTTTAGACCCTGAATATTATTCGGAAATGTTTTTTGTTTTTAATCTGACGCCAGAGTTACGAATCTGTAATAAAGAAAAACATCACCTTGTCCCGGTGCAACGAAGCCAGCCTTCCAGGAAAGCGGTCAACGTATTCCTTGACCCGGATTCCCATCTGGGAGACCCCCCTTTTTAAAATTTCCCCCCTATCACCCATTAGATGTGTTCATTCGCGAGATCGGCCCTTCACCGCGAGTAAACATTGAATAATTCATCCACTTTTCCAGATACTTCTTTAATATTTACCGAGAGTTGTTTACCATAAATTTCTGGGTCCATCATCCTCTGCCCCGTGGAAATTATTCCATAATTACGATTTGTTGATGGAATTTCGATTATTTCCGAGATAATTTCGAGCCGTACGGTTACATTTAGGAAATTTGCGAGTAGTGCTTTGTTTGGATTTTGTTCGTTCCCCACGAAGATAAATAAACCGTTTTACAGATACCTTCTTTGTAACCGTTTTCAATCAGTGAAGTCCCTAAACTCAAAACGTTCGAAAATTCATGGAAAGGATTAGTGTGACAAGCGGCCATCCTCCTGTATTGGTCGTTAATAATACAAGGTACTTTTCTAATAAATTTAATAGAAATCTTATCACAAAAAACATTTTTTTTTATTTTCGCAATTTAACTACTTTCGGATCACTTAAAAATTCCGAAAAAAAAACCGTAGTCTTAGCTCTTGTCAGCCTGTCAACTTTGTCAGCGCGCCAATGCCTGCCTAAGCGCAGGTGGTGACGTCACTAACGAGACTAACGTAACAAGAGAATGTCCCCATTTTTGGAACTGTCACAGCCTAAACATATTCATACCGTTCATTTAATAGCTCAAATCGTATAACAGACTTGCATATGCATATGTGGAAATTAGACGTTTTATGTCTAAATCATGTCATCACGATCGACTTAAGTCCAGTACTTTGGGTCTCAGTTAAGACTTGATTAACTAATCAGATGATTAGACTCTGAATAGACAATTATAAATTAAATCAGTGTAGTCCAAACAATAGGTAGAACAGCTTAAAAAAAATAAACCTGGAAACAACATGGTGATATAGGAAAAAAAATTCTAAGATAGTGTTTTTTTCCTGTGGCTCATAAACAGCGAAGTTAACCTAAAAAATCATGAAAGTCAAAATAAAAATGGTTTTTCGCTAATAAAAAAAAAAACGAACTCCAATTGAAAAAAGTTAAATGGGAATGTTGTAGCTACTAAAAAAAAACATCAAGTCGTATTTTTAAAAATATCCATTGCTATATTACTTTTCGAGATATATCGTAAAAACTGACAAAAATTGACTTTTTTTGTTTTTTCTGCATCTCTTGCAAATCAGGGTTTTGAGACTTGTTACTTGCTGTAAATCTAGCCCTCGGCAAGCAAAAAAGGTGATTTTTTTTTTTAATTAAAAAATATTTAAAAATTTTCGAGTTATATCGATTTTTCGAAAAAAATTTCTCGAAAATTGGTTCTTCTTGCTTGACGAATAGTCATAGAGAAACGAATCAGAGCTCATTTTTTTGCTTAAGAGTTGTACTTTCGTGGTAAAATAGAGTGATAACGATTTTATTAATTTCAAGTGTTCAAAAATGACTTAAAAAGTAAACAATTTTTGGTCGCGTTTTTATTGAATATCTTTTTTGATTTTCATGCCCGATATTGTCTATTACAGGAATCTATTGCTAGTATTTGTACGCAAATTTAAAAAAAAACGTTGCTCTACGTCCTTCTGGAGCCGAGATAATTTTTTTTTCAAAAATTTCCACAGGCCGCTACAACGTTCATTATTACAGAGATTGAAGTTGAAGGCTTATATTTTTTCAATTAAAAAATACTGTGGTTCATTTTAGCCACTTCTCAAAAGCATAATTACCTTTGAAAAATGTTATTTTCCTTTAGTCTAAAATTCTGTCGCCTCTTGTTAACAAATTTATAATTATTTATAACAAAAAATATAAATACCAAGGCTTAATTGAGACTCAAAGTACCGGACCTTAAACAGTCTGTTTATACAGGCTGGTCCCGAGGTAATGGGCCAAAATTCATAGGTAGATTCCCGAAGCAATAATAGTGCGATTTAGCCGAACTTACCTTAGTCCAAAAGTTGATAGTTAAAGAGATACAGGGTGTTAAATGTAAAATATTATTTTAGTTTATTTCCATTTATTTCTTAATAAATGCAAATACCTGTAGGTACTTAATTGTAATTTAATGCAACATTATTGGAAATTTCAGAGCCAAATATCTCGAAAACGGTGCGAGATAGCTACTTTAATAAAGTATACCTTTTTTGTGAAAAAAAAGTTGAAAAATAAGAATTTGTTACCAAAGATGAAATACCTTAAAGTACAAAAAAATTATGACGTTTTTAACACATTCAATCTACTGCAGCTAGCGCCCTCTATGAACTTTTACCAAAATGTGAACATATTTCAATTCCTCTACTCAAAGAACTCCAATCCCCAAAATTTTGTGAAGATATTTGCATTTGTTAAGGAATAAATTAAAAAAAACTGAAATAATATTTTACATTTAACACCCTGTATCTCTTTAACTATCAACTTTTGGACTAAGGCAAGTTCGGC